ATTACAAGTGATCGATGTTGATTTGTATGTGGACAAAGTTGAAGTATACATGTATAAAGTGACCAAATTAGAGTAAGGTACAAGGTTAGGGACCAAAATCTCTAACTAAGTACTGGAAGAGCATAGCGTTTGGAGAGTAGTCGTCGGACTAATCCCATAGGTAGCTCAATTATGCAAGCTAATATTGTGGTAGGCTTACACCTTATAATTGTTCTACCTTGACAAAAATACTATCTAATTTAAGTGGCGACATCTAAGAAACCATGTTATCAAGGATTGATATCCTAATTGGTTGTTAATCTAGCTTAATTTAAATGGCAACATCTGAGAAACCATGTTTTCATGTTGTATTGTGTAGATAAGTTGTGAGTATATGTTATGTTGAGATATATTAAGTTGCTTATGTTGATAGTATAGTAGTTTCACTTCTATACTTATTATGTTATTTTCTTTTAAATACTACTTTATCTTTGCATGTTTTTCATGTGATTAGACTATGATAATCATATTTGATATGATAGTAGAGTAAAGATAGACTATTGGTGAAATTCTTTGAAAGTCATGCTAATAAAGGCAATACTAATCTTTTTGGAGCTACTTCAACGTAGTTGGACTAGTTGTATTTAATAGATTTGATAGGCCGCTAAGATTATTATTTAATATCTGAATTACAATATATATATATTTCCCTGGTTGTTACAGAAATTCTTACACCTAGATATTGTAACACCCCAAAAAGGATATTTTTATTAGTAATGGCATTTTCGTAATTATTGTTTCATTGTTCGAGTACCTCTTGTTTGTTTTAAAGGATAATTTCATCGGGAACCCTTCTGGGGATACGATTAAAATCCCTATTCCAGCGCTTAACTCGTGTTTCGAGCCATCGAAATAATTGTTTGATGACTAATTGTGAATCTCCCCGAATTAATACATTTCGAGCACCCAATTCTACAAGCATTACGAGTCCCGTTATTAATGCTTGATACTCAGTTTCATTGTTCGAGTACCTCTTGTTCATTTTACAGGATAATTTCGTCGGGAACCCTTCTGGGGATACGATTAAAATCCCTATTCCAGCGCCTAACTCGTGTTTCGAGCCATCGAAATATAATTTCCAAGGCTTGGTGGTTAGGTAATTAACTTCTTCAGTTTTATTCGAATGATCTGCAAGAAAATCTGCAATTATTTGTCCTTTAGTTGCTTTTAGCGGCTCGAAAGTTAACGAGTATTCAGTTAACGCGAGTGCCCATTTGCCGACTCGAGAATGTAACACAGGTTTACACAACATATATTTTATCACATTACTTCGACAAAGTATTACAACATCACGAGTCCTAATATAGTACTTCAACTTAGTACAAGCAACATAAAGACTTAAACATAATTTCTCTAAAGGGGTATATCTAGTTTCTGCTCCTACTAACATTCGACTTAAATAATAAATTGCTCTTTCGATGCCATTATCATCATCTTGCGCCAGCATGCCCGCAATAGTAGTTGGCCAATACAAGCCTTTCCTCGACAAAACCCATTTCATCTTCTTTCCAGCCTGGTGTGCTCCATAAATGCCTTCATTTATCTCTGCCATGGCTATATAACTCTCATGACTTCCAAGGCACCTGAATAGGATTCCATCGAAACCTCTTTTATATAATTCATCGTCCAGCAATACATAATTGAGGGCTTGGAGTTTGATCTTTCTTTCGACCTTTAGATTAGGATTTTGCAAATATTCGATTAATTCGCTTCTCCAGTCTCGTTGATTCGAGGAACCAATATTCAAACTTTCTCGATGATTTATCAATTCACTTTCTATATGCAATAGGTGCTCCAAACACTCTTTACTTACTTTATACCCTGAGGCTGTTTGGGCTAACTTATTTGCAATGGCATTTGAGCCTCGAGGAATATGTTGTAATTCAACTTCATCAAAAATATTAAGCAATTGTATAACTCGAGTTTTAAATTCAATTAACTTCTCGTTTAAACATTTATACTCTTGTATTAATTGTTTGATGATTAATTGTGAATCTCCCCGAATTAATACATTTCGAGCACCAAATCTACGAGCATTTCGAGTCCCGTTATTAATGCTTGATACTCAGTTTCATTGTTCGAGTACCTCTTGTTTGTTTTAAAGGATAATTTCATCGGGAACCCTTCTGGGGATACGATTAAAATCCCTATTCCAGCGCTTAACTCGTGTTTCGAGCCATCGAAATATAATTTCCAAGGCTTGGTGGTTAGGTAATTAACTTCTTCAGTTTCATTCGAATGATCTGCAAGAAAATCTGCAGTTATTTGTCCTTTAGTTACTTTTAGCGGCTCCCAATAATTATGTTTCTAGATGTGACTTGCATTATAATTCTAAACAATTCATTGTAAATTTATTTATCTATTACTAGTAATTAGATTGTTAAATGTAATAACCTGATGGGTCATTACAATAGGAGTCAAAAATATATTTAATTTTATTATAATTATATTACTATTATATTTTAACTTCATGTAAAAAAAATATATCACCATTAGCTTTTTATAAATAAAAAAAACAAGTGATTAGCTCTTTTTTTAAAACAAGTGATATAAGCATAAGTCAATTTGTATTTTATTATAATTACAGCAAGTACTTTTTAAAATTTCATCTCTTTCGTAGTTTTTTATTATTATTATTATTATTATTATTATTATTATTATTATTATTATTATTATTATTATTATTATTCCTGTTTCTGATTATTTTAAAAGTATTGCCCGAATATTTCTAAAATTTCAAAAAGAACCTTTAAAAGTAATAAACGGGCTCATAGAGTTCAATTTTAAGATAATTGTACACTCACATTTTCATAATAAATAATATTTTAAATATATGAAGTAAATGTGACAAAAAACTATAAATTATATTTTAATTGTAAACTAAATTTATCTTTAAATTAATTGATATTCAATGAATTTTCTTAAAAAACTTACCGATAAAATAAAAATTCTTTATTTTTTAGATCTTATACACAAATATTAATATAAAATAATTTGATACCTTATTATATAAATAAAAATATAAATTATTCTAATAATCCTATTCAATTTGAACAAAACTAATCCTTCAAGTCTTCGATATAGGTTAAAATAAAGTTCATGTATGTCAAATTTAAACATAAAGTAATTTTTAATTAATTTTATTCTATTTAATGATATTTTTTAAAATATTTTTTATTTAATTAAAATTATATTCTCAAGGGTTCATTTTTTAATTTCGGTATCAAAATCTAATGAAAATAGTTTAAGAAAATAATTTATTTTTTAAAATGAAATTAGTGAAATTAAATAATGTTAAATAAATTTTTTAATTTACATAAATTATTATTTTTCTTACATTCAAATTTATATCCTAACACGAGATAACGTTTTTAGATATTATTATTTGATGGTAATATTTGTAAAATTTCTTTTAATTTATTATCTAAATCAAATTTTAATTTATTATATTTATTTATGAATTAAATTAACCTTTTTATTTTAAATGCAAATGATTATCTTATATAAGAACATTTTTAAGATTATTTTTAACAACAAAGTTTTTACAGATTATTTTTTTTAAAAAATTATATAATTTAATTTTTATTTATCATATTTATGAATTAAATTTTAGTATTCTTAAAATAATTTATCAATAATTAAAATAATATCATACTTCAATATGAATTATTTATCCTATAGTATCTAATATAATTTATATATTTAAATATATTCCTTAATATGTTTTAAATATAATTATATATTTAAATATAATATGTATTTATATTTATAATTTATTATAAATTTTAATTATATATAATAAAAATTCATTCACATGTTAAAATATTAGTTAGATTAAATCCTATAAATAAAAATAATAATAATAAATAATAATAAAAAACAAACAAACAAACTGTGTGCTTTAAATTTATGTAAAGAAAGTGGTTTAATTGGTGGGAAGAACATAAGATGCATCAACTAGTAGAGAGACATGGGAATCTCTTCCACCATATTTTAATGCAACAGAGTGCAAAAGTCCTAGTGTTAACATGTGAACTGTGAACCTGCTTTAATTTGTTGCCCTGTCTCTCTACAATTTACAAAGCCACATTTTTATTATACAATTTTGGTGAAAAATAATGAGCACCCATTCATCGAAATCAAATGTTACTAAACTCTTGGAAATCGTTAACTCAAAACAAATTTGCCTCTTATTATCTGCAGAAAACATATTTAACGTACATTAAAAATACTACTTTCAAATAGGGATGATAAGGTGCGAGACGGGACGAATTGGTTGTTTTTATATTTCAATTATGTGTATATATAGTCATTTTTATTTTTAAATTAATTTTTTTTATTTAATAAAAAGGTATAATCACTTTTTATTAAGCTGATCTTATAAAAATAAAGTAATATTTCTGATTTTAACTCTATTTTCAAGTATTTATCGATTCTTAATTAAAGGAGACAAGTTGAACTAATAGTGTATATTTATGTATATTGCACTAGAGTAAGCTTATTCATATTGATAATTAAATCTTTCAGTATCTAAAGCTGTTGACTCAAACTTGAACTCAAGTCTACGATTAAATTAAAATAATTTTGTAAAAAATATCCAATGTTCATGCAAACCTAATTTTAAAAATTCAATTATAAATTATTTATAAGCTTAGAGACACAATTAAAGTATAATAGTCTATACAAAAATTTTCAAACAATTTAAAGACCTACTAATTTAACCTATAAAGGATCACGTGTGTTTCAAAAATAGAGAGGATTATTTCAGGTAACAAATGCAAAGTCGAGGACAAATTTACACAAATGTACTTTTCATCTGGTATTTTATTGCAAGTAGTTCTTTTAGGCTATTTTTTTATTCATATTGTTCTTTTTTTTTTTTTTTTCAATTCATAGTTTTCTTTAAACTATATATAAGCATGCCTTGTAGTGGTTCTAGAGTTTTATTGGGTTGAAAAAAATGATATATTTATGCCAGCATTTGTCCATTGAATTCTGAGGTAGAGACTGTCACTTAAATCAACAAATCACAAGCAAACTCACTCTGTCTCTCGGGCTAAGTTTGTTTCACAAAAATTACACTTGATTGCATAATCAAACAAAGGTAACAATTCTCTTTACCACATTCACTTCAAGTGTCACTATTCATTAATGAGACCACCAACCACAAATATCACATTCTCATTTCCTTTGTCTAAGTAGCAGACAATTCCTGGGAGGACCCTCTTGTCGACATTGTAAAATTATAGCAAAAAATGGATCAGAAGAAACAAGGTAGAAGTGAAGAAGAGAAATGGGTGCTTGATGCATCTGTGGATTATAAAGGGAGACTTCCTTTCCGTGCTTCCACTGGTGGATGGAAAGCTTCTCTTTTTGTTCTTAGTAAGAAATTTACAAGAGTTTTATGCATCATCATTTTATTTCTAAAGTGCAACACAGTAACAAATTAAGCAACCGCTCTTAGTCAATTCTTGGATTAAATACATTTTTAGTACTTAACTTTTGGTGATTTTCATTTTTAGTCTTTGAATTTCTCACATTATATATTAAACATCTTTAGTCCATGTTATCAAAAATTTTGTTTACTGAAGAAATGTAGGGACTAAAATCAAATAAAAATTGTTTATAAACTAAAAATAAGAATCGACAAAAGTTCAGAAACTAAAAAATATTTATAAATCTTTAATTCTTAACATGATCATAACTTCGTGATTTTGTTTCAATGTGGAGCAGTAATTGAATTTAATGAAAGAATAAGCTACTTTGCATTATTCGCTAATCTTATCACGTACCTGACTAAAGTGATCCATCAAGACCTCAGTACAGCTGCAAAGAGTGTAAACTACTGGGCAGGAACAACAACCCTAATGCCTCTGATTGGGGGATTTATTGCTGATGCCTACACTGGTAGATTTCATATGGTCATATTTTCTTCCCTCGTATACTTAATTGTAAGTCCAATATTTTTCAGTCAACGTACAAAATGTTTTCATTATAACTTAGTAATGTGTGCTTTTACGCTTCATATATTTTGCTTTGATCAATTTTGGAGTCCTTATTATTAACAAGAAATTTCAATATTTCTTGGTTTACACATCAAATGCAAGCTCTTATAAATTTTCCATGAAAAGTATGCCTCATTCTAGTTGTCAAACCAGGGGTTAAGCCTTTTGACCATGTCTCAATTCATCCCAAGTCTAAAGCCAAGCAACAATAATCAGCCTAGGGTGGTTCATGAAGCGGCCTTCTTCCTTGCCGTTTACTGTATCTCCTTGGGCATTGGAGGACACAAACCATCCTTGGAAAGCTTTGGAGCTGACCAATTTGATGACGAACACAGGGAAGAAAGGAAGAAGAAGATGTCTTTCTTCAACTGGTGGAGCTTCATTGTGTGCTTTGCATTGTTGCTTGGTGCCACAATGGTTGTTTATGTTCAAGACTTTGTGAGTTGGGGAGTTGCTAGTCTCATCCTCACTATTCTCATGGCTCTCAGTACCATAGCTTTCTATGCAGGGAGGCCTTTTTACAGGTACAAGCAGCCACAAGGGAACCCTTTTAGGCCAATTTTACAAGTATTATTTTCAGCAATAAGGAAAAGGAATTTGTCATGTCCTTCAGATCCTGCTCTATTGTATGAAGTCCCAGCGTCAGACAAGTCCCAAGGAAGGCTTCTGAGCCATACTAGCAGGCTCAGGTATCACACAAGAACCTTGTCACTTTGAAACTAAAATCTTATAGGAAAAAATTTAGATGTAGTTCTTTAAATATATTTGACACTATTTTTTAATCAGAATTAAAATTTTATCTCAATAATATATATAAAAATTAATACAGATTATTACGATGAATTTCTAATTTTAGTTGGAGAACTATATCAAAGTTTGGTCTTAATTTTTATTGTTATATCAAGTATATACTTTTTGAATGATGTTAATTTAACAAGAAGTATATAATTGAAGCAACCTAGTACCTACTAATATTCAATGAAATAAATACTCATGAATAGGTTTCTTGACAAGGCTGCAATAATTGAAGAGAAATATGTTGAGCAGAAAGACAATACATGGAGATTAGCAACAGTGACAAGAGTGGAGGAGACAAAACTTGTTCTAAACGTATTTCCCATTTGGCTTACTTCATTAACAGCTGGGTTATGTATGGCACAAGCCTCAACACTTTTTGTGAAACAAGCAACTGTTATGAACTTAAACATAAGCAACAATTTCAAACTACCACCAGCTTCTCTTATCTCAATTACAGCCCTTGGTACCTTAATATCTCTCCCAATATACGATAGGATCATTGTTCCAACTCTAAGGAAAGTGACAGGTAATGAAAGAGGCATTAGCATCCTAAGGAGGATTGGCATTGGCTTGACATTATCAGTCATACTTATGGTGGTTGCTGCCTTAGTAGAAGCAAAGAGATTATTAAGAAGTGATGAAGGGACTATAATGAGTGTGTCCTGGTTGATACCCCAATACTTGATACTTGGCATTGGAAATTCATTTTCCCTAGTTGGGATGCAAGAGTATTTCTATGACCAAGTTCCTGACTCAATGAGAAGTTTGGGAGTGGCTTTTTATCTTGGTTCAAATGGAGTAGGAAACTTCTTGAGCAGCTTTTTGATCATGATTGTGGACAATGTCACTGGAAAATCTGGAAAGAGTTGGATTGGGAAGGACATAAATTCAAGCCGTTTGGATAGGTATTATTGGATGTTGGCTATGATCAATGCTTTGGATTTGTGTGCCTTTCTCTTCTTGGCAAAGAGGTACACTTACAAGACTGTACAGAGGAGAAATATGGATGTGGATCATGGTTGCAAGAGTGATGAGGTGGAGATAAGGGCATAATGAGAGCAACTTTAAATTTGAGAAATTAGTGTGATTTGAAATTTTGAACCATGTTATATTACAGGCTTATGAGATTGTCCTCTAGCCATAGTAATCTCTCGCTTGCAACTGCAGATAAAACTGTTTTTCTGATCTGCATTGGAATTATCATTTAGACTATCTCTTCGTATTAAAGTACAATCTTTCTGTTTTCAAGTTCTTAAATTTTTTCAATTGCATCATAATTCGAATTTCTTTAAAATCTTTTCTTTTTCAAATTTCTAAATTCCTTCTATTCAACTGTATTTTTAATCCTTCAAGAATTTTCGTTCTTTAAATTCTCAAATTTCCTTATTAGATCTTAATTTTAATCCCTTCTTCAGATTCCTTTTTGATTTTTATATTTCTAATTTTAATTTTAAAAATATTATCTAATTAACTTCAAAATTCATAATTATTTTATTATCATATATATATATATATATATATATATATATATTATCAGTTAACTCCTTAATATTCTCATATTAAAACATATAACAAGTTTTAATACGTCAAAGTCATTACTATTTAACAATTCAACTTAATAAGGACTAAATTATATTGACAAATAAATCAAGGTTAAAAATGAATTTATGATGAACTAAAATTAAAATTTATTATATTTTAAAAGACTAAAATTATATTTAAATTTAAAAATGTTTTATAAAATAATTAAAGAATCCAAGAGTATAATTGAGAAAAAAATAATATTATCTTGAAATTTAAAAATAGTAAATAAATTTTTATTTTTTTTAAATGTAGCACTTTAAAAAGAAAAAAAATAGAAGAAGTAGTAATTAAGTAAGAAACACTTGCTTATCTCTTCCTGCGTTTCGTTTATATAGATGTGTTGTTTTGGAAAAACTTGGGAATGATTTATTGCATTATGATTAAAAATAATAATTTACCAACATTAATCCGCATAAGTGGTAGCGATTAATAATTCTTACCTAAGTTATTTAAGATTCAAATTTTAATTTTAAATATAAAATAAATTATGTTGAGAGAAAAATATTTATTTTATAATATTTATAATATTTTACAAAAGTTAATTTCTGATAATACATATTTTATACTATTATCATAGTTAGTAAATTACTCAAAAATAATTTAAAAACTATAAATCACCTCCATAGAAACATTATGATATAACATTTGAATGAATATGATTTTTTTTACTTTTTATAATATTAAATTTAATTACTTTTATGTATTAAATATTTTTTTTCTGAAAACATGATTTTATTTTAGTTTCAATAAAAAGAAAGTTTTATTTATTTTTAGTCCCTACAAATTATTTTTTTAAAAATTAATTACCAACTAAAACTGTACTGAATTTTTAAATGTAGGAATTGAAAATGAGTTGAATTTTTATAGGAATTGAAATAAAAAAATTCTTATTTTGAATATTAAATGCATATTTAAACACTTATAAGTTATTAATTTAAGTGAGATCGGACTCGATTTTTTTTTATTTTATATTTATTAATGAATATTTTGTACTAACAATATAATAATAAAAAATATTTAAACTATAATTTTTTAATTAATGAAAATTGAATGGATACAATAATTAGTTTAGTGGTATTTTCTGTGACTTGTATCTACATATAATTATGGGACAATTTTTGTACAGTCGTATTTACCCTCAAATATGATGCTATAAAATGGCACGCAAGAGAACTTGTGCTTATATAACTTTAATTTAAGATACTATCTTTATAATTTATACTCTTCTCCCTACCCTTCCTTTTTAAATAATCTGTCACATTAGAAAAAGACTTCATATTCGCATTATCTGTGCTCCAATAAACGATTCTACTACTCTGAGCCTGATGCCTTCATGCCAACAAATAAGCTTATTTAATATTTTATTTACTTAATTTGTTAATTATTATTCAATTTGACCCACTATTTTTAAAATATTTAATATTTTTTTTCTTTTTATTTGATTTCATTAATACGATTTTGATGAAAAGATAATATTAATTATATTTTTTAAAAATAAAAATAAAATAATCATGTTAAACATTTTAAAAATAGAAGAATCAAATTTAATTTTAAAAATAAATAAAAGGTGAAAAAATAATTAAGTTTAATATTTAATATGTAATTTTGATCCTTTTTTTAATTATATAATTTTAGGAATTAATATGTAAAAGACCAAAATTATATAATTTTAATTCATCTATTAATTTACTGTTAAATGACCATTATTTGTTGATGATATGGTCGGTGAAATTTTTTCTTTTCTTTTAACTTAAAAATAGTTATTTATTTGCTTTGTATTTGCATGATATATATATATATTTTTTTTACTTAACTTAGTATTTGGTTTGAGTGTAATGGAAGGATGAAGAAGAGACGAGAGGAACTTTCATAAGTTTTTTTTTTTTTTTGTTCAATTTTTAAAAGAGGATATCTTAAAATATTTTAATATATTATTTAAAATATTTTTATTTATATTTTTAATTTAAAATTATAAGAGTATAAAGGTAAATTAATTTTTAAAATTTGTTTGTCCTTGTTTAAATAAATACATTAGTTTATCTTCTCTTTTTTCAAACAAACAAAATTTTTAACTCTTTTTTTTTTCTTCTCTGTTAAAATCTTTCATCTTCTTTCATATGATACACGAATAGATGCGCTAATAATATTCGAAAAGAATACAATTTCAATTTGGAGAAAGAACATAAGGTGCATTTATGGGAAACTCTTGTAAATCAAGCCACGATATTTTAATTCATTCACGATACCAAAAAAAAAATATATATATATATATATAATAATCTCTTTAATAATAATATTTGATTTCCACATTTGTTGAACTATTATATTGTTTTTTTTTTTTTTTAGGTTCGTTCTTGGAGTATCTACCGCCGACAGCAGTGACTAATCTCTTTTCGTTCTTGAACTATTATATTGTTTTGTTATTAAAAAGAATCTTGTTATTATTTTTTTTAATAACTATCATTTTCTTTTAATGATCCCTCACTCCATTATTTTTTAAAACAAATATTAGGAGTGACCCCGTAGTTTGATAACGGGGAGACGATATTTTAATTGATGAAAGTGCAGTGGGCAGTGGGTGAGCAATTGAAGTTGTGAAGCATCTCACACTACTCCAAGGTTACATATGCTTTAGTCATCCTGCCTCTTTACAATTTACAAAGCCACACCTTTGATTTTGTCTGTATATATATGTTCGCCCGTTGATTCAAATCAGAAGTTACTCCAATAAATAAATAAATAAAAATAAAATATACATATATATATATATAGGTGTCAAAAAAATATTTTAATTTTTTTTTAACTTAAATTATATTTAATGATTTTAAAGTAAATATTTTATGTTTTTGGAAAATAAATTAATTACAAGTAAGTTTTTATTTCCTTTTGCTATTTATTTACTTATTTTAAAAAAATTTGGTCTTTATAAATTAGCTAATATCTATTTTTTAGTATGTAATAACAATTCATGTGATTAAGTTTTTATTGAATTTTAATAGCAATAATTTTACGTACTTATTTTTATTATGAAGGCGTGAAAGCATAATTTATTTTGCTGTTTATTTTCTTGCATTATTCTAATGATATTTCTAAATTTTATAGTTTAAGTATTTATTGTGTTTTAAATTTCAGTTTAAAATCTTGTTAGCGGAAAAATACGTATTTTAATATAAAAAAAATCAAAAGTTTGTAAAAAAAAATTTTCAATTCTAATTAAGTTTAACCGATTCTCAAACACATCTTTAATCATTTAAATTCTACTTTAATAAACAAGATTTTTGTTTAATTAATCATAGTAATACACAAAAAATAATGATTCACTGTTGATCAATGATGCCTCATGAAAATTTACTTAAGTATAATTAGATTTTATTAAAGTTTTTAAAATAACCGACAAAAAGAAGTTTTGAAAATAGAGAGAATCTTATACGTATATCACAAAACGACAAAATAGATGAAGTATTTGCGTAATTGCTTTTTTACTATGATTTTTCCTATAAAATTCATGACTTGTATTGCTTATTGTGGAGGAACAATGAAATAGAAATTAGAGATTTATTTGGTGAAATAATGATATATTGATATCATTAATTTACACTTAAAATGCTCAGTGAGAAATCCACCATACTTGTAAGTTGTAATATCATCATAGTTATATTAAATTCTGTGTAAAGACTCACTCGAATGTAATCTTATACTATTCACTAGCACTCTCTGTATCTCAAGCAAATTAAATAATTGATTAACGAAATATACACCTTATTTTTTGGTAAGCCAAAGATTAATTTATAGTATACACACCTTATTGTCTTTCACTTGCAATGCAGAACCAATATAAGTAGCAATTGGCTCTTTGCTACTTGAATTTTAAATGTCACTAACGAGTTCACCAACCATAGAGTTCAGTCACCCTTTTCATTTTTCCATATATGTAAGTGTAACATATACTATCAGAAGGTGAAGACCTTTTTAACCTACTTTATGTATGTGTAAACATGGAGCAGGAAATGGAGAAGAGAAATGGAGGTAAAAGTGAAGAAGAGAAATGGGTGCATGATGCATCTGTGGATTATAAGGGCAGAGTTGCTCACCGTGCTTCCACGGGTGTATGGAAAGCTTCACTTTTTGTCCTTGGTAAGACACCATATTTACTACATATATCATCATTTTATTTCAAGTTTGCTACAATAGTAAAAGAATTATCAATTTATTTCATCATTTGGTTCGCAGTTTCATTTTTAACCTTCGCTCTCATTAAAAAATATTAAAGAATTGCAAATTTAGTGCACAGTTAATAATTTATGAAAATAAAAAAATGCTCAAAATAGGAGAAATTAGTAGGTACACTAATTAGATCACATAACCCTTGATTACTTTAGTTTACGAGAAATTACTAGCTGATCATATAGTTCTTATCTATTTTACATAAGATGTAATTTGAAGGGTCAAATTCAACATGATTTTAGCAACCACATAAGTTATGTAATAAATGTGTTTAATACAAGAATAACTTCGTGATTCTATTTCAATCTGGAGCAGCAATTGAATTTAGTGAAAGGCTAAGTCACTTTGGGATATCCAGTAATCTTATCATGTACCTGGCTAATGTGATGCATGAAGACCTCAAAACAGCAACCAATAATGTAAACTTCTGGAAAGGAGCAACAACCTTGATGCCTCTAATTGGGGGATTTATTGGTGATGCCTACACTGGTCGATTTCGTATGGTCCTCTTTTCCTCCCTCTTATACCTTCAGGTATATTTTTTTTTTTTCAATGCAACAAACGTTAAGGACAAAATTTAACTTTAGTCCTATAAATACTATTTTTTAATAAGAATTAAAATTGTCTCAATAACATATATCTATATTTAGTGCAAACTTTAATAATATATATTTATATATATTATTAAAATAAAGTTCTAATTTTTATTTAAAAACACAATATTAACGGTACTTATAATCCTATACTTAAGTTTTGTTGTTCTGTTATTACATGCAAAACTTAGTAATGAGTGCTTTTACAGTTCATATATATCCTGTCTTTGATAAAATGGAAGATCTCATATACACTATTGCAATAAAAAATAAGCCTCATTAGTTGTTGTGTGAAACCAGGGATTAAGCATGTTGACCATGTCTCAATTCATCCCTAGTTTAAAACCATGCAACAATGAGATATGTGATCGGCCAAGGAAGTTTCATGAAGTGGTTTTCTTCCTTGCCCTTTACTGCATCGCCTTGGGAACCGGAGGATTCAAACCATGCTTAGAAAGCTTTGGAGCTGATCAATTTGATGATGAACACCTCGAAGAACGAAAGAAGAAGATGTCTTTCTTCAACTGGTGGACTTTTGTGCTGAGCCTTGCAATGCTGCTTGGCGCAACAGTAGTTGTTTATGTTCAGGACTTTGTGAGCTGGGGAGTTGCTTGTCTCATACTCACTACGTTTATGGCTCTCACTTTCATTGCTTTCTATGTGGGGATGCCCTTTTATAGGTTTAGGGATGCAGAAGGAAACCCTTTCATGCCAATTCTACAAGTCCTAGTTGCGGCTATAAGGAAAAGGAATTTGTCTTCTCCTTCAAATCCTGCCCTATTGTATGAAGTCCCAAAGTCAGACAAAGGAAGGCTTCTAAACCATACTAGTAGGCTCAGGTATATCTGTACCTTGTTACCATGTAGTTATAATCCTCAATGATATTGTTAATTTAAAATTTATATCATTCATATATAACATTTTTCTCTCGTCTTTTTTTATTAGATCATTAATCCTATATTACAAATATAATCCTATAAACTACACCACAGTAGGCTATTTTTTTGGTTATGTTATTACTTACATGTTTTAGTGTCCTCTTTACTATTAATCAATAATATGTACAGATATGTTTTTACTCCTCATGCTAAGTAACGAGAATTATTTATTAATTAAATAAAATATGTAAATTAAGTTATTATTATGGTAGTATAATATTTTGTGTTTCACAACAGAAGATATAGTTGAACCTACCCATTAAATGAATTCTAATCAATTCAATAATAATGAATAGGTTTCTTGACAAGGCTGCAATAGTTGAAGAAAAGTATACTGGGCAGAAAGTGAGTTCATGGAGATTAACAACAGTGACAAGAGTGGAGGAGACAAAGCTTATTCTGAATGTTGTTCCCATGTGGCTCACCTCATTATTAGTTGGAGTATCTGTAGCACAAGGCGGAACACTCTTTGTTAAACAAGCAGCTTCTATGAACCTAAAGATAAGTGACAACTTCAAAATCCCACCAGCTTCCATGAGTTCCCTTGCAGCTTTTGGCAGCATAATATCTGTCCCAATATACGATAAGATCATTGTTCCAGTTATGAGGAAAGCCACTGGTAACGAAAGAGGCATCAGCATCCTTATGAGGATTGGCATTGGCTTAGCATTATCAATCATAATCATGGTTGTTACTGCCTCGGTAGAAACAAAGAGATATAGATTGGGTGAGACAATGAGTGTGTTGTGGCTGATACCCCAATACTTGATCCTTGGCCTTCAATATACATTTTCTCTGGTTGGTCTGCAAGAGTATTTCTATGACCAAGTTCCTGACTCAATGAGAAGCTTAGGAATGGCTTTGTATCTTAGTGTGCTTGGAGTAGGGTACTTCTTAAACAGCTTTCTGATCATGATTGTGGACCATGTCACGGGGAAGAATGGGAAGAGTTGGATTGGAAAAGATATAAACTCAAGTCGTTTGGATAAGTTTTATTGGATGTTGACTATGGTAAATACTTTGAATTTGTGTCTCTTTCTATTGTTTGCGAAGATGTATACTTATAAGACCGTACAGAGGAAAGCTAGGGAAAATGAAATTGATGATGGGGTGGTTACAATGGCATGATATATCTCATGCACTTCTGCTTAAATAAACATGGAATTTGTTGTTACCTTTTATATTTTCTGAAATCTTGATGCTCGACTTTACCTTTATTTTTACATAATATTGTTTGGTTTAGGTACAAAGAGGAAAGGAAGGAAACAGATTAAAAATATGTTTCTAGCTTTCCCGCGTTTGGTTTGTGTCATTTTGTATACATTTTTCCTTTTCCTTTTTACAAAATCAAACCATCTATATATAAAGCCATCTTACTTTCTACTCATTTCCTTTAATTTTCTTTCCCAAGAAAAATAAATATATATTTCTTTAGAATGTAACTGAATTCTGATGAAAAATATAAGTGATAAACAACAAGTGAAAAATATCATTTTCTTTATTTTATGTATGACACGCGGTTATAATTGTCAATATATCAAGAGATCAGAAAACATTTTACAGTATGACAAAAGCTTTTGTTTTGAAAAACTAATTTGCCTTTCTACAACCTCTCTTTCTTAAATAGACAACAAGATATATATTTTTATAAAGAGATGAGAGATTATAGGAGTTATACAAGGAAGGAAGATATTATAGGAGATTAACAGCTAGGATATATGTCACGTATTAAATAATACAGCTATAATCATATTAAAATAGGTAATAAATTACATTAAATATATATTAACATCCCCTCAAATTGATGTTGGTAAGTCAACTAGCAACAATTTGTCAACAAGAAACTGATGACACTGTCTAGTCATAATTTTGGTAAAGATATCAACCACTTGAAGATCTGTGGAGATGTAAGGAAGAGAGATGACTTTACTGATCAAGGTTTCCCTAATATAGTGACAATCAACCTTGATATGTTTGGTACACTTGCCGAACACGGGATTTGAAGCAATTTGAATAGCACTTGTATTATCAACATGAAGAGGGATAGAGTTAAGCTGTGAAAATCCAAGCTCCTCCAAAAGACTATGTAACCATACAATTTCAGAACAAGCAGAAGATATTGAATGATATTCAGCCTCGGTAGAAGATTTAGAAACACAATCCTGCTTCTTACATTTCCAAGAAATTAAGGTACCATCGATAAACATACACCAACTTGTAGTAGACCGACGAGTATCCAAACACTTTGCCCAATCAGCATCACTATATGCCATAAGTTATAAAGGTGAGCCTCTAGGAAAGAATAACCCACATGTAGGGGACCCTATAATATAGCGGATAATGCGAAGAACAACAGCAAAATGAAGATGTCGAGGAGAAGATATAAATTGATTGAATTGGTGAATAGCATACAAAATGTCAGGTCAAGTTATCGTTAGGTAGATAAGACTTCCTAACAAACGTCAATAGATAGTTGGATCAGCCAAAAGATCCACTTCATCTTTCTTGTATTTGACATTTACTTCCATAGGAGTATCAATTGAAGTAGTTCCTTCTAAACTAGCCAAAGTGATCAAATCTTGGATGTACTTATGCTGGTTTAAATATATGTCATTGGATCGATGATGTACCTCCAATCCCAAAAAAATATGTGAGTTGGCCAAGATCTTTCATGCGGAATGTTGCATGTAACACTACTTGAAGCTTAGTAATCAACCATTATCAGTTCGCGTAATGATTAGATCATCCACATAAACCAAGATGAGAACTATACCCGTGGGAGACTTGTGGAAGAAAAGAGAATAATCGTATTGACTTTGTGTGAAGGAGAAATTAAGAAGCGTAGTATGAAACTTCTCAAACCAAGCCCGAGGAGCTTGTTTAAGCCCATACAGAGAACGACATAGTTTACAAACATCATTAGGAGAGGAAGTAGTCATACCAGGAGGAAGCTTCATGTAGATTTCTTCTTTTAGATCACCGTGAAGAAAAGCATTCTTCACATTCATTTGATGCAGTGGCCAAGATTTAGAAGGAAAATGCCTAGGATGGTTCGAACTGTAGTCATCTTGGCAATAAGAGCAAATGTCTTCTCATAATCAACCCATTATTCCTATTTATTACCAAGGGCGACTAATCGAGCTTTGTAACGATCCAAAGAGCCATCAGAATGAAGCTTTATAAAGAAAACTCATTTACTTCCAATAGGTTTGAACGTGGGAGGACAAGGAACAATGTCCTAAGTGTAATTTTCTTGAAGTGCTTGCAGTTCTTCTTGCATTGCTTGTTTCTGACGCTCATGTTCCATAGCCTGTGTGTAACAAGAGGGAAGACAAATAGAGGACAAGCTAGTTGATAGAGATATAGGTGTATAAAAACCATCCCAGTTAGGGGTTTAGACGGTCGAACAGACTGATGAAGAGGTATGACAAGAGTGACAAGATTTAGTGTTGGGGCAGAATCATGAAGAGAACCAGGATCAACTTGACGACTTCTTTCATACACAAAACTAGGCTTGAACCGTTCCATAATTGTTGAAGAATCTAAAAAGTGTGGCATAAGAGATAAAGAGGAAGATGGTGGTTCAATAAACGATGGAAAGAAATATTGATTTTCAAAGAAAACCACATTCCTAGAAATTCTAATACGAGAGGATTGTGGATCATAACAAACATACCCTTTTTGAGTAATAACATATCGTAGAAAAACACACTTAACATATTAGGCAGTAAATTTATTACGCTCATGAGTAGCAAGATGCACAAAACAAACACAACCAAAAATACGAAGATCAGAGTATGAAGGAGAATGCCCAAACAACTTTAAAAAAGGAGAAACATTTTGTAATGTTGGAGAAGGTAATTGATTTATTAAATAAACAACAGTAGAAAGTGCTTCACACCAAAAGCGAGGAGGAACAGATGATTCAAGCAAAAGTGTTCTTACTACATCAAGAAGGAGACAATTCTTCTTTCGGCAACACCATTTTGTTGCAGTGTGGATGGACAAGAACGCTGAGATATGATCCCTTGATTTTGAAGAAAAATTTGAAATTCATGAGACATATAATCTCCTCTAGAATCAGATATTAAGATTTTTATGTAAGCAAAGAATTGAGTCTCAAGAAGTGCGACAAAACGTTGAAAAATAGAGAAAACTTTTGCCTTAGACTAAAGAAAGTATACTAAAGTAAATCGACTGTAGTCATCTATGAAAGTGACAAAATACTCATAACATGCATGAGAAACAACAGATGAAATCCCCCAAACATCGCTATGAATAATGTCGAAATAATGGGGTGCATAAGATGCATTATTTGGAAAGGGTAAAACTTTACTTTTGCCAAGTTAGCATGTAATCAATCAAAAGGAACAAAAAATTATTTATTGCTCAATGAACTAGATTTTAACAAGGTACTACACTACAAGAAAAATGTTGATTTTCGACGAAATTTTCTGACGGAAACAGCTAAATTTCCGACGAATTTTTCTTTTTTCGACGAAATTTTTTTTTTTTTTTAATTTTAATAAATTTATTAATGTAACAACCCTCATATTTGGTCTCTCAAGGATTCTATTTTACAATATTTCACTGTTTAGCGTGTTTTATCCTTACTTGTGCAATTTCTGGGAAACTTCCCAGGAGGTCACCCATCCTAGTACTATTCCAGGTCAAGCACACTTAACTCTGAAGTTCTGATGAGTAAGCTACCGAAATGT